ATCGGACTCTGAGTATTGTCTTGTCTCCTATACTGTGTTTGCTGTCTGTGACCATTGCCTGTCTGACTACCCTGTGAATAAACTCACGCTGCATTTGGATCTAGCTTTGTCTGGTTGTTCATGGCATGCTCAAAATGTTGCTTTTTTTTTAATGAAACTTACCCACATTCAATTGTTGATAAAAAAAAATATATATATAAACAGAGGGTCTGAGCAGATATTCATACAACAAAATATTCTGGGGGCCATGAACATTTTGTGAAAATGATCAAAAATGTTGGCGGTGGCTGGCAACTTTTTTTTTTTACGCTGGTGCAGAAAAAGGTCGAATATTTTTCATACTAAGAAAAAATTGGATCACTGAAAGGTTCTTTGAAGAAGAAAAAATGCTTCTGCTATGACATCAAATTTCTATTTCATTTTAAAATAATGAGTCTCAGAACAAACGGGGGGAGGGGTCATGCAAACTTCTTCATAACTACAATTAGACAGTTAGAGTGCTGTTCTGCACTCTTTTTTTTTTTTTTTTTTTTTTTAAGTTAAAGCAGGAGATAAAAACTATGTGACTTCCTTATTCTGAACAAACTGGAGCAGCACTCAAGTCTCAGCGGACACGTCTTCTACAGGCTCATGAAATGGGTTCAGTCTATGAAAATACTGCTATCGCACTTTCAACAGTTTCTTCAGATGAAAAACGCTCTCAACACAAAGGTAAGGCTGGGGATATGCATTTGTATTTCTATTAAGATTTAGCAATGCAATAACTGTGTGTAAGTTTTATGTTCATTCAACCATTATACTTTTGGCAGATGCTTTTGTCCAAAGCGGCTTACATTACATTCAAGGTATACATTTTATCTATTCATGTGTTCCCTAGGAATCAAACACTGTGAACTCTGTCATTTAACCCTCATATTGTGTGTGGAGTCAATATGATCCCAATCGACTATTCCTCAGTTAAAATAACATGGTTCCCTTCATCTCAGTGGCATAAGATTTGGTGACTTTTTCTACAATATATAGACACACACCAAGCTTATTATAGTGTTACATTTTTTAATTAGTTTTTATTTTAATATCGTTTTCAATTTTGCTGTAAATTTCAGTTTAGTTTTAGTAGTTTCATTACAGTTTTTTTACAGTCGCTAGGACACATTTCTCAAGACTTTTTCTTTTTCACTTTTTCAAAACTCTTCACACAGTTCTCCTAACCAACTGTCAGCTCGGCACAGCACATTCAAAATGCACTAAAACTACAAAATCACTTTGTACATGTCTAAAATCAACAAATTCTTCCATAACTAGCAAAGGTTGACAACAGCCAACAAACACACTTTGTCACCCACAAAACAATGACCTAAAAAAACACTAACAACAGGTAACTTTATTTCCTAAATGCTTTCTTTCTTCTACCTCTCTACTGTTTAGAGTTCACTGCAATATATGTTACTAGAATGAATTAGACATGATGCAGTTAGCTTCAATACATTATATATTTTATGTTTTTGGAGTAATTCCAAAGTACAAAAGTTTGTATACACACCATCCACCGATACAGATACAATAGGAATCAGCTGTGGTTGGTCCAATTGTCCAATTGTTTTTATACCATTTAATTTTTAGATTCAAAATATATTTCATTACAATATTACTGTAGAAATGTGGCAAAATGCTGTCTTATTCAGTTTTGTATTATATAATAGTTTGAACTTAAGTTTAACAGTTTTGAAAACAGTATGCATGTGCAAATTAGCCTGTAGGTACACAGAGTTTTGGCGGTTGTTGTGTCGAAGTGAGAAAATAATTAATGTAATTTGAAAGATGTAGTCATTGAATGCATTTTGTGCCAAAGCAATGATAAATGATCCACAGTTTAGCCCACATATACTTCTGTTGTGCTCACTGTGTGAAGAGTTTTGAAAAAGTGACCTAAGTATTGAGAAATGTGTTGTAGCGACTGTAAAAAAACTGTAATGGTTTTGTTAGTTTTAGTTTAGTTTTTATTTTGTAAACACATTTGATTGTACACATTCTACAATTAAAATTTAGCAGAGCTAACAGAACACTTCCAGTGTAGACCAAAGCGAGACGCTTAATTTCAGCAAAGTTTAATGTTTGCACAGATTACAGTTAACTCTAGTGCAGACATCTTAATAGGCCTCCAAATTTAAATAATGGTTTGAGATTGAACAAAGCACCAAATAAATACAACTTAAAAGTATACAAAACTATGAAAAGTTCAGACAAACTAATTCATATTAAAGATGAAATCTTGTTAAACATGCCTAGTTTACCTTTTTCAGCTGCACAATATAGCAGTGTGACCACTGGTACATCAAAAAAACAAAAACAATACAAAAAAACCCTGCCTCAACCCTGAATGCACACAGACTCATGGGGACTCGTGTCACTGTAAAATGCATCAAGTTTAGTGTAATGGGAAGGTTTAGGGCGGGTTAGTGTAAGGAGACAGAATATACAGTTTGTACAGTATAAAAACCTGGCAACAGAGACCTTTTATGAAATTTTGCTAATTAAATTAGCCACTGAGGGCTAATTTAACAATGAGGGACCCTGCCCAGTTGGTGCATGGGAAGATGAAACTGGACGTGCAATTTTTCGGTCTGTCATGTCGCTACAAAGATTCAACATGTTGTCAAGAGTCATCTGATTTGATGAAAGGTCCATGGTGTGAAACTGACAAGCTGGCAGCAATTTGTGATGCCTGGAATCAATGGGTTAAGCATCTGCCACTGTACAACCCTGAACAGGTGTTGTGCCGAATTTCGACTCCCTGGCAAATTATTGCCCCCTTCGTTGAAGTCAGTACCTGATTGCCTAATCCTAACCCCTCCCCCACACAACTAATCCTTAACCTACCAATACTAGGGGGGGGGGAAATCATTTGGCAGGGGTCAGAATTATGTTAGAACCTGACATTAACAGTGCATGAGTGCCTGGTGCCATTAACAGGTAGATGTGTGTTCGAGCAGTTCATGCCCAGTGAGCTGGCTTAATATGAAATCAAAATCTGGGCAGCATGTAATGCCAGGACAAGCTTTGCATAGAACATGCAGGTGTACACGTCACGTCGGAACGTACCAACGAATTGGGATCCCTAACAAAAGCCACCTAAACCCCCGGACCTCCTGGGGCGGAAGATGGGACAGGGCGCCGAGACAGTCGATCACTGTTGTTCCGCATGACCCATTCAGCGAGACTATTGGATAACACTGCGAAAGCGTGCCGTTTCAAGTTTTGGAAAAGGACTCTGCGGAATCCACATCCTACCCATAAGGAGATATCATGTGGAAGTTACACATATGGACTGGCGACATAAGGGGGGCTGAGGGTGGCAAGGCAGAGTATCGTGCATTGCGCACCCTCTTGGGACCCAGAGATAGAGGAACCTGATCTTTAATTGAAAATTCAGACAATAGTCAACCATATGATGATTTTAACTGAATGGTAGAGCTGAATTCCCAAGACTAAATAAATAATTACAATTAATAAAATGTCAGGTTTGGTCAATGTGTTGAAAATGTATTCTGTTAAAGGGGTCATATAATGGCATTTTCATATAAGTTAATTTGATTATTTAGGGTCTAAATGAAAAGTTTGTAATATACTTTAATACAAAATTCTCATTAGTATTGTAAGAAAACACTAATTTTACCTGGTCAAAAACAGCTCTGTTTTCAGCACGCCATTTCAGTGCATATGCCTTTAAATGATAATGAGCTTTGGTCACTCTGCCCCTTTGTTCAGCGGGCGTTTTTACACAACACACGTGGAGTGTTGCCTTGACAACAGTTGAGGGTATATTTTGGAGAAAGAATGGCAGCGGGAGTCTCTGAGGACACATCTGTGCAACCGTATCAGTTTGTACCGGAGTCGCACCCGTAACAAGATGACGGCCCCGAAGAAGTTCGACAATTAAGGCTCGAACAGGACGTTTCTGAATGGTTGGTTAACATAATGTCACTTTGATCTATCTTTGTGTACTGGCAGGGTAGAGTAACTTAGTGAGATGTACGAACGCTATGTGTTTACTGATGTATACACACTCAGTTTGTAATAACACAATAACCATAACGCATTGTTCATTATAAACGTGGGATTATGAATTATATTGATAACGTCGTACATAGAAAACATGCCGTAATCTACCCTGAATGTAAACCTTAGCCGCATTCATCGTGAAGCGTGCAAGCGATTTGCAAAGATTAATATAAAGGTTAATAAAATGTTACACTCACTTCTTCTGGAGGAGGTGCAGCAGAAACACGAATAGTTGGTACCGATTCTTTTTTCAGGAGCAGCTTCTTAGCAAAACCAGCTTTATACTGACCCTCGTTTATAAAGCAGTCTGGTGAGAAAAGATTCGTGAATCGCGCAAACATGAACGCATTGACGTTGCTCGTGGGGAATATTCCCTTCGAAAACAAAACTCAGCCACTGCGTCTTCAGCGGTTCGGATTTAGGAACATCAAAATGACTGTGTTCGTTATTACACCCAAGAACAGAACACCACAATCGCTTAGACGCCATTCTGCTCATAGACAGTGCTCCAGCATATCAACAATGACCGCGCGGGCCGGTCCGCGCTGACTATGATTGACAGCTGGCTCACGAGCGAGGGCGGGTCTGTGTTGAAACGATGCTGTCAATCAACAATCGTGGGAGGGGCTTCCGAGCGTGTGACGTCACAAAATCGAACGGCTCAATTTGAGGCAGGGGAAAACATATAAGGAGATTAAAACAAAAACACTGGATGGATTTTTATCATTTTATGATGGTTGTGTACAGGCACTGCCAACACACATTTCAGTACAATCAACTTGTAAAAGTGCATGTACCATTATATGACCCCTTTAAAAATGTATCGTACAGAAATTAACCCAGTGTAAATTCAGGAATGGTTCCAGATGGGAATGCTGCAAAGATTCAAGATTCAGAAATCGTTTAATTTTTCTCATCAAATTTGTAATCCCAGGCAACTCCGCTGAAGTGAGAGCGAGAGAGAGAGTGAGAGAGAGAGAGAGAGAGCGAGAGAGAGAGAGAGAGGTCACTTCTTCTAAGTGGACTAAAGTTCTTCTGATTGTTCTGGGTCTCTCTCTTGGTTTTGCTCTCGGAGGTCTCTGCACTCTCGGGGTGATTTGTAAGTATAACTGATACCAGATCTCTGCTCTGTTCAGGGTTGTATTGACTGAGTTACTGTAAGTACTTCTACAGTAGCATCATTAGAACTCGCAACACAATTTTATAAAATCATACTTTTCAGCAAAGCTGTTTTATTAGACTAACCTCCATATTGAAGGCTAATTGAACTCTCATTAATTATACCTGAAGACTTAATTTACAAACTCCATTCAAACTTTGTTTTGTAGATCATTTCAGTCTTAAGTGTGCTTGATGTGGACTTTCCTCAAAAACACATTTTCCACTGCTGCTTTTGTCTTAATCAGATTATCATAAGCTTGCTGATTTCGAATCACTGAATGAGAAGCACATCATGGTTTCAAAGACACTGGCGGCTCAAGAGATCAACAGCACAGGTGAGAAAACTGTATTTCATAAACGGCAGAGCACAGACATGTTTCATTAACAGTGTTGAGTGTTCATTGAACTCACCATGTCACAAACGTTATCTGCTTGTTCTCCTGTTGTCTTTTCTCCAGCCATGAAGAAAGAGTTTAATGATCTTACAGGCAGATACAACACACTTAGAGAATGGCTGTCCTTTTCTGATGGTGAGTTCAGTTTAAAAGTAACATAAAGTGTGAATATTTCTGCACATGGAACCAGTTTAATTAACTTTATGATCTAAATAATGGCAGGTTTAATCACACTTTATTCATCTTTCACAGCTCAGTCTTGTAATCTCTCTGTGAATGGCTGGATAGCTTGTCGTGGAAAGCTGTATTTATTCAGCTCTTATAAACTGAACTGGAATAGAAGTCGAGATGTCTGTGTTTCAAAAGGAGCCGATCTGGTGACCATAACCAGCCAATCAGAACAGGTAAGACAAATACATTTAATGAATATGTTTTGATCACACAGATAAAACAAAGTTTTTAAAGGGTTTCTATTAACCTATAAATTTACCTCACATATACCAAAAACACTTATTTTACACTCTCACGTATTTTCCCCATTAGAGTTTTCTGGTGTCTAAAATTAACGAGACGCGCTGGATTGGTCTCAATGACCTGGACACTGAAGGACACTGGGTTTGGGTGAATAACCGAACTCTCAATGACACTGGAGTACAGTAAGTAGAGCAATCTGCATGTGTGATCATGTCTAGGTATGTTAATTAATGTAACAATATAAGGCTGTTTTCTAAAAATATTATTGCGAATGCATTATTGCTTGTTTGTCTCTTAAAGGTTCTGGGCGTCGACACAACCTAATAACCGGAAAATATATGATCCATCTGGAGAGAATTGTGCTGCCCTGGGAGATCTCACAGATATCAAGATTAACTATTGGTTTGATGCTTCTTGTACAACAACAACGAAAAACTTTATCTGTGAAAAGAAATATTAATTTACCTCCATTAGTGGTACTGGGAGGTCTATCATGTATATTCACAGAAAAAAATGATTGTCAGCCAATTATAGGCCTAGACATTTCAGTATGATTGTGCCAGATTTTTGTCCAAAAATATTGTTCATGAAAGAAACTGCTGCGGTCGGCAGGTGTAAGCCTTGCAGTTCTGAAAAGTTTGTCTTTGAATAACTATCTGTAAATAGCTTACAAATAAGAGTATACATGGACAAAATCTCTTTTGTTTATATATCTAAAATAACTGCAAAAAAAAAAAAAAAATTGGTGAAGTTTAAAGGGTTAGTTCATCCAAAAATTCAAATCTGTCAATGAGGTTCATTCACGTTTGAGCTTCAGCAAGAACCAGGAATTTCTGAAAACAATTTAACGACAGGTGGGACACTGTCACAATCCCGGTTCTGTGTTTATAAGGAATTTTGTGTTGAAATGTATTCTCAGTTTCCATTGTCTGATTTTTCTTCCTGTGTTTGGTTTCTGTTTATTTGATTACCTCGTTAGTTCCTGTATTTACCGTCATCAGACACACCTGTAGTTAATAGCAAATGACAAAAACAAAGATAATCCAGACCGGGAAAGAGGCAAATGGTTCACACGAACACAAAGGGCAAAACCAGGACATCCAGGAACCCCACGACCGAACACTATAAGAGCAAACAACAACTAACAAAACATGACCGAAGCACAAGGGTTTAAAGGAAATCAAGCATGATTAAAGTTATGTGCACACTTGGATTCTCTCTCTGCCTCGCCCCATTACAGACCCATTACAGACGCACATTAAATATCTCAGCTGTATCACAATAGTTCACACACTTTAACTCGAACAATAGCATACACAATTAAATTAATCACAGGCTTTCATTTGCAGTTCATTTAATATGACTAATGTATAATGTATAATTAATTCTAAAGTGAAGATCATGGTAATGCACTAGCAATGACTCTCCTATTAAAGATAATACTCCTATTAAAGACTGAATTTATTGTAAACTTTTGAGGTTTTTGTAAGGTTTTGGATGGTAATTCCTTCAGATGGATTTAGTAACACTCGAGTCATTACTATTGGGTTACCAGGATCTTCACTTTAGAATACTGATCCAAATAATTAGTTCCTTTAGAAAGTTGAGTCATTACTATCCAAAAATGAATATAATGTAAACTTAGAAAGCAATGCAAGCAGTGGCGGCGCCAGGGGGGGTCTTGGGGGGGTCTCAAGACCCTCCCAAAAAATGCTTTGACCCCCCACTCCCTTCCTGATTAAAAAATATATACAAAGATTTAAAAATGTTTCTCTTCAAACTACGCAGAACAATAATAATTAATAATTTATTAGACATGTAAAAACATATAAACATAGAATCACTGCGACGCCCCATGAACGTCGCTGCACATTGCGTCATTGCGTTCAAGGCGCTGCCGCGAGCCCGCAAGAGCTGCTACGCTACAGTTTCGTGGATCAAACAGTACCAGTGGCTTGAATATTCAAAAGACGCGGCTTTTTGTTTTGCCTGTCGTAAATTTTTTTCACAGTGTGCATGGATCCATCTGGTGATCACTCATTATATCCAGTCTCCTCAAAAACTGTCAATTTTAACATGCTATATAAAATTATCTGTGGGGTAGCCTATTTTGAGCTAAAACTTCACATACACTCTCTGGGGACATCAAAGACTTATTTTACATCGTATGAAAAGGGCATTATACCAACCCCTTTAAACTTTAGGTTTTTTTGAGTAACAAATAAGTATTTCAATCCTGATTCAAGACAATTCTGTAATTACAGCCACAACTTCAGCAGGCACAAGACAAAATTTACGAAATGGCTGAGACATCAAGATTAGACAGAGAGACGCTTGAAAAAAGGAATGAGGTGATCTGTTTTGTTATGACACAGATTAAACACTGTTAGGTAGTAGGTACATTACCGTTCAATTTGGGGTCTGTAATATTTTTTAATGTTTTTGAAAGTCTCTCATGGATCACCAAGGATGCATTTATTTGATAAAAAAACTGTAATATTATAAAATATTATAATGGAATTTAAAATAATTATATTTTAATATATTTAAAAAAATGTAATTTATTCCTGTGATGGCAAATGGCAGAGAAGAAGACAGGAGGAGACTGGACAGAAGTAGGGCAATCAAAAGGTGGTGAGATTATGAGAATAGATACTATTTTGTAAATATGTTTTCTGTCATGGGTGTGGCTATGGCAATTAAAGTTCGAGCATATAGTTTGCAAAATGCAATTGATTAATTCATTAAAAACAAAGTGGTTGATATGCTGTGTTGTTTTTTGTTGTTAAGTAGCAGTAATATGCAGTTATTAGGCGTGTCCACTGTATTTTTTGTTGGTTTTCATGAGACCAGCCTTGAAATGACCAGGACCCCCCATTGCCCCCCCAATCAAAATTGTCTGGAGCCGCCACTGAATGCAAGTCACTTAGAATAAAAGCATCTGCCCAATGCATGAATGTGAAAATGGTTCTTGCACCGTGATATTTGTCTATGAATTATATGTTGTTTAATTATACGTTTTAAATCCCCCAAAACCTGTAGATTAACATTCAAAAGACAACTGAAAACTCATCTCTTAACGGAGCACTTAACATAAAAAAAAAAAAAAAAAAAAAAAAAAATCCTTTCCTCTAAATCCTCGCTTGCCTGGCTTATGCTACTCCGAGCTATGTCTGAACTTTGTATTTTGAGCACTTCTTGCGTTGCTTTTGCCTCTTCATGATGACTCGCTTGGTTTAGTCCTCAGTTGTAAGTCGCTTTGGATAAAAGCGTCTGCTAAATGACTAAATGACTAAATGACTAAATGACTAGATTAACAACAATCTCATCAGCAAATATCCATATTGTCCGAATAACAAACAGAAGCCAAAATAGGGACATATTAAATAAATTTTATTATCCATTTTCTGAATTTCTACACTGTAGTGGCTTCTATATAGACACCATCATCATCATCAGGAAAGACTGCCGGACACCGATGCAACATAACAACTGTGTGTCCCAGCTTCAATATATAATTATTGTATGGAAAAAAAAAACAAGAAAAAAGGAAGATAAAAAAAAAACCTAGTTTAGTCTCTCTTTAGTTTGTTTACACTCAACATAAAACTGTGGCCCAGGGCAGAGAGAGCGAGTGTGTGTGTGTGTGTGTGTGTGTTTAGGGCATCGCACCGGCGGCCGCAGGAACCTGTGTGGCGAGAGCACTGGGAGACGAGATGACCGGAGAGCCGGCGATGTTGGCCATCGGCTGGGACGAGGACATGGATGTGACGCCTCCTACAGGCACACAAACACAGTCAGCATTTAGAAGCAAACACACTCGCAGTGTGTCAAGCCAAGGATCAGCTGACACTCTGACTCCTTGAAGACCTGCAGATCAATGCCTTTTAGTAACATTGTGTTTCTCATTAACACAGAAAAATACTTTTGTAATCTTAATTATAGTCTGTAATTCTCAGTTCAATAAGCATGATCCGTGCGTGCGTGATGAGGGAGTCACATGACTGACCTGTGATCATACTGGACGTGCTGACAGGAGTGGATCCAGCGGACAGGCCTGAAGTGGAGCCAATCCTCGCCTGTTCCTTCACAATGGGATCTGACACGAGAAAAAATAATAATTTGTTACATTCATACAGCGCTTATCTGGGTACTCAAAGCGCTTCACATATGGGCACAGTGATGAAATGCATGATGCAATCAATAGAGTACATAAACCTTTTATTTCAAATGAGCGAGCAAATCCTGTGTCCACATAACAACCGCTTTAGTTCCTACAGAGACATTGTTCACACTTCTCAATCATTTGATGATCACATAACTGATGTAAATGTCAACTTTGCAATCAAGGTGTTTTAGAATCAGATTGGGATATTGGTTCTGCTTCCTTGGCTATTGACTAGTTAAGAGATCCTAGACTCTGGCATGAGGAGCACAGCAGTTGATCTTCATAGTTTCAGTAGATGAAGACACTCACAGAAATAAGGGTGCTCCATGGCCTCGCGGGCGGTGAGGCGAGCTTGGTGGTCGTAGCGCAACAGTTTGTCCTTCCTGGAACGCTTCGGTACTGACCAGGTGCTGGTTCTCACTGTGGACAAACTGTTCCCACCTTTTCTGGGAATGTCTGGAGAGAGATAGTAATTTCCTTAAAGTGAGGTCAAAGTATTACTTGCATAAACACAATCACACATTTCAACGTACCTTCCTAAAATGTCGTTGAACCGTGGGTCGAGCTCGATGTTGTATTTGTCGATGTAGTCGTAGAGGTCCTCTGTGCCCAGGACTTTGGCAATCCGTATAAGCTGGACAAAGACACAGTACTGGTTAAAAACAGCAGAGGGCAGCAGACACACATCAACAGATCAAACCAGCTGACAGCCTGAAGTCAGCGTTACACTAGTTCCCTACCCAAAAAGCCATTTTTCCATTTGCTGTTGGATTATTGCAGAAAATTTCGAGTTCGGTGACCAACAAAAGTGTATGATTCTTGCCTGTTTTATTCATCATGAAAACCTTCACAAATCAAGATAAATTTTGTCAATTTTGAAGTATGAATTCAGGATAGTTTGCATTGCAAGTACGGGCATAAAGCGGAAAACTGAGTAGACGAGTTTTCCTGTTCGGTGATGATGTTTAATGTCCCGTAAACCTCTGTAATCCAATTTTAGCCACCTGTTGATATTTTG